GCTCTCACATACTTTGATGATAGAAATGCCCGAGCATTAATATTGATCAAGCCACTTGCTCAAACCGTTATGAAAAATCTCAAGGAAGGATTTTTCAATGAGGATATTTTTGAGCATTTGAAGTCAAAGTCTGTCGTATTTTCCCTGCCAGAGTTCCAGTTGTCTGATCTAATCAAACTCCTCCTTCATCTTAATATCATTACAAAACTAGAAGATGAACAAAAGGGACACTACTTCATTCCTTATGCTCTTCCTTCATACAATGAACCAGTTTCAGTTGAGGAGACTAATGCTAAGCCACTTCTTATAGTCTGGAGGGAAGAGAAGAGTGAAGAGATCTTACCAGTTCCTACAGGATTGTTCCCTTTAACCATTGTACACCTACTCAACCAGAAAGAATGCGTTACTAAAATCTCTCCATCAACATCAGAGTATTACAAATTTCGAGATGCAATATCTCTCAAGATAACCTTCACACAAAAGCACACACTTCACCTCATCAACCGTTACACTCATATTGAAGTGTACTTTACTGGTCCTACCCAGCACTGTCCATTAGTACGTAAGCTACTCACAACAGCTATTGATGATAGCAGTGATGCCATGCACCTCAAGCATAATTACGTCAATGCATTTGCTTGCCCTTCCAAGAGGAATAGCTGCTACTGTATTGTTGGGTTCAGTAAAGATGTTCATTTCATCAACTGTACAGTGTGCTGTGAGTCTGCTACTATCAGTAATGATCACTGGGCCTGGTTTGAATCAGGTATGTAAATTTGTATTTATAATTTATTTTATCACTTGTGTACAGGACCTATTGTGAGTAGGAATGCAACACAAACAAAACAAGTTAAAGACCATGATACATCAGATCAAAGTAATGAACTTATCATTATTATTGTTATTATATTTTATTTTTATTTACTACAGACCTACTGTTAGACAAGAAGCCTCAAAAGAGTGACCTCCTTAGGTTGTTCAAAAGTTCTGCTGCTCATTACATGATCATTGGCACTGCACTTGATGTTAAAGTGGATGACTTACCGCCATATCCAGGGGCTGCTACTAATAACCTTATACTAGTCTTCAAGAGATGGATAGACTCAGATAATGATGTAACCTGGAGGAATATACTGGAGGTTTGTGAAGATTATTTGGAGGACCTTGGAAAAGTGAAAGCTGACTTGAAAGGATTTCTTTCATCTGATAAAGCCCGTAACAAATATTTATAAAAATTATTATAACTTTTCCTGTTACAATATTTATTTTATTATTTTATAATGTAAATTTTCAATTAGCCATTTTGTTTTTTAATACACAGAAATGATCAATGATAAATAATAACAACAAGAGTAAAAATTATTTTATATGCAGGGGGTGTCAGAAATTTGTGGTGAAGTATATTCTCTAGCTTAGATTAAGGAATCAGCTATAGTTGGCGGAGCTTGCATAGATCTTGTTCAATTATGAATGCAAATGTGCTTGTATAATGTACAAATTAAATTACTTTTCCAATTAGTAGAGGGTACTTGGTGACACGTTGCATTGGCTTAAGGAGGAAAGAGGAAAGGGGAAGTCCCTTTGTATGAGGGTCCTTAAGGCAAGCCTGCTCATACTCCCTAAAAGAAGGATCCAGACTTTTACTCTGAAGTAATGTACAAGCTGTTAGTTGACATGAACACCATCGAATGTGAGGAGTTAGTTTTGGAATGTGTTTCTGCAGTACATCAATAGATCTTGCACCTGATGTATGTAACCTACAGTCTCGCTAGCCAGACCATTCCCCAGCCTACAGTCATTGGGACCCCAATGACTGTAGGCTGCATGGGGAATGGTCTGGCTAGAGAGACTATTTAAACCGAGGAGGGCAAGCATTTAGAGTGTACTAATTCATAAAAATTGATAAAAACATGCACCAAAATCAATAAATTTGAAATAATATCCATCAAGCCATAAAACAAAATTGCACCATAGATATTTATGATTACCCAATTAAGAATGCTTTTATACCTTCAGTCAATAGTCACCCACCCGCCCACACACTCTGATGCCTGTTTACCTGACAAGAAGAAACTATAGATTTGGCCAGGGCCTAGATTTGGCCCTATATTTATAGTTACACAGTGTTTCGACTACTGAGCTGGGAGCTGAGCTATGTCTACCCAGCCCGGCTATGATGAGGCCAGGCCCAGTCACTCCATTGTCGGTAGGGAAGGGTCTGGGGAGCGCTTGATGGAGCACGGAGACCACAATAAGGTGTTTCTACCAATAGGATGTCCACTAGTTGAGGAAGCCTCTATGAAATTCAAGCCTGATGACGAGGTAAGAGGCTATTGTCTCGATTAACAACATCAATTAACTATCTTCACCCATATTGCTCAAAACCAGCTTTCCGTGTGTGGATTTGCCCAAAAGTGATTTAATTTTTGGGCTGGAATCAAAATGTTCCACCATCTTGTATGGTATTACCGTATAGCGGGTTTTTTTCGAGGAAAATAAATTTCGCGAATGACCCGTATCCGGAAGTTTGCGGAATTAATTTTAGCGAATTTCCACTAATCTGCCATCTTGTACCGTATAAATTGATTTTCAAGGAATTTAATTTCGTGAATCATGGAAAAATCCACGAAATTCATGAAATTTGTTATCCTCAAAAACTTCCCATTATACGGTATATAGATTCTTGCGTGAATCTCAAAAATTGGAAAATCAGTTTCTGGGTAATATAAATTGAAACATATAGAGGATGCTGGCAAGAGCTCTGTTTACTAATTAAAGTGCAATTAACATTCTCGATGACTTTTATAATCTTATTATTCTTGCTCATTATGTTGTGCATGCATGCACAGAAGGTTAATTCAGTGCTGTTTTACAAGGAAAACAGGATGGCATGCAGCTGTTTAGAACTATGTTTGTAGTGTTTAGAAACCTTTATCTAGTAGTAATTGACATGGACATTGGACACACATTAAATTGTATTATTATAATTATTTATTAGTTTTTGAAGAAAGGTTCTTTTGGCAGTATACGCCATGCAGCAACACTTGAGGGTAAGGACGTTGCTATAAAATATTTCACGTCAAGAGATATAAAAGGGGGATATAACGATGAGGTTTGTTAATTAAAATTACTAGATTAACTTATCTTTTTCCTCCTCTCTCTGATATGATTTCATAATACTTGTGCAGCTAACAATTTTAAATGCTCTTCAGACACATGATAACATTGTTGTCCTCCTTGGAGCAGGACTGTCTCCTATGACAAAAGAGGTACAGTACATACACCAGTATACGACTATAGTGTCCTTAATAAAGAGATTACACTCTACTGTATATGTGTTAACTATATATACTATAAAGTTAGGGCACATGACTTAAATAAGTTCTGGTGGATTTTTACAAATTTGAGGCAAGCCTCATTCTGTCTAAAGTAGTAATTGGTAGAGAGAACCTCTATAAATGCTAACTGGCATTGCTGATGACCATATCTTAGGATATCTTAATTTTTACACTAGTTTTTATTATTTTTAGCCCTTTGTTGTAATGGAATTTGCTCCTTATTCATTGAATCGAGGTATATCAATATAGCCTGTACTAATGTATTGTTATTCTTCTCTTTAGTATTGCATGGTTACCCTCGGTATACTTATAAGAATGATCATGTGATGCATTGGGCTCGTCAAACTGCTCTAGGTCTGGAGTACATACACAGTAAAAGGATATTATATCGAGATGTAAAATCATCAAAGTAAAAGAAAGAGAGAGAGAGGAATTGCTTTGCATTTTGGTACATGTCATACTGTATATATTGTGTTACATCAAAAAATACTTGCAAAGAATTAAATTTTGCGAGATTGTGAATGAATCAAAACACAAAACTTAAATTCACAAAATAATGAAAGTCATGCATGACCACAGTTCATAATACTACAATAAACTGGTGGTCTCTAAAAATTGTTTAAATTCATGATTTAGTTTCTCTTGATGCACAGTCCTACCCAAGTAGTAACTGTATCAAAAATTTTTTACTGCAATCATCTGATAATGGAAAATGCATACTGTACAGTACCGTATAGCTAGAAAATTTAATGGAGTAAAACTTTGGCAAATTTGCAAATTGAGGTCCATTTGCCATATTTTCAGACTCCAATTTGATAAGGCTCCATAAAAGCATACACAGAGTTAAAATTTTGCCAAAATTTTAACCTCCAAACCTTTTTAGAGTCAATTCACCCTAGCTATACGGTATATAGGATAAGATTTTAAAGAGGCTTAATTTTAAAATTTGGAAATGCATCAAAAAGCACAAAAATGTAATTAAGGGTTTGAATGTACACACAAAAGATTTAGACTTGGACTTCCATGCATGGCAGTATAGTCATCAGTGCTTGAAGATTATTGTTTAGCAATAAATAATCAATGATAAATCTCTTTGAGAGCTTTTTAAAAACACCAGAATGGTCTAAATTTAGAGATTTTTACATGATTTATGTATTTTCACATTATTCTATTTGTTAATTTTTTAGTCTTCTTCTGTTTGGTAATGGCTCTCATTTAAAATTATGTGATTTTGGTATTAGTTGTAATATTGAGACTGATGCCACCTACACAAGTGGTGTTGGTACACCGAGGTATATGGCACCTGAAGTCATTAAAGGTAATGGATAATAAGCCTTCACTATGGTATAGGAAAATGTTTGGAAGGAGACTGGGAAAGAGAATTTTTCTCAACATATGAGCTTCCTTAAAGGGCATATATCATCAAGAAACAAAGGCCTTTTACAATAATGACATTATTGCTTTGATGTGGTTGAGTCTATATTTTTGTATAAATAGACAAATTTAGTATACATATAATACTAATTATATACACATTCAAGTGCTTTAAAGGAAGGCTTTGATACCATACAGTGTAATTCATATAGTATAATTTTCACTGCTTTTAAAAGTTCACAAAAATTAAATCAATTTAATTATTATACTGAAATTCTAAAATTAATTCCTGAATGATGCCATATATTTGACCAGTGAGAGAGGGGAATACTACTTTTAATTAATGTGCTTTACATGTACACATTTACCTGCCATGTGCACTATAGGTACAACTTATGATACTAAATGTGACATATTCAGTTTTGCTATTACACTGTGGGAGATGCTAGCACGTCAAATACCAACAATTGAGGGACTTGATGACAATTCAAATATCTATGCTGTGTTTTATGCCATGGCACAATTAGGTAAGAGAGAGAATAGGAAGAGGAGAAACGAGGGTCATTTATGTCCTTTATTATGAACCAAGTTATTGGTGTGAAAAATTTCCTAAGATCACCACTTTGTAAGATGTTCAGAGGTTTTTTAAGATCTGCATGCCATTTAGTTTTAATGTGGCACAAATTAAATAAGGAGTGTGGGCATTTTGGTTGCCAAAAGCATCTTAATGTTTATTTTTTTCAAAAAAATTTTGAGAAAATTTTTAATTAATATCCTTTAAAAAGATTTCTAATCCCCTTGAAAAGTTTGAGTTGCACAAACTTCGTGTTTTGTATTTTTAGAGAAACGACCACCATTATTAGTGGGTCATCCTTCATTTGTCAATGAATTACTTCAGAAGTAAGTGATCATGTGATTACTGTACAGTGCAAATATTGTTTTAAAAAAAGATAAAATTGTGTATATTATAGTTGTCAATATAATAATATATCTATAATTACCAGTTGACCATCCTATGTTTGATTGTAATAGGTGCTGGGATCAAGATCCTCGTCTAAGACCGACCTCAACTGAGCTGGCAGAGGAATTAGGAAAAATTTGTAAAGTAAGATACTTGTTGCTTCTTACTTTATTATGTATTTGTATTGTACATGCACTGCTTTACTTTCTTGTATCTTATTCTGGTTCAGTTTTATAACTGAATTTTTTCACAATATTTGTCACTGGTATACTAGACTTGGGGTATAATTTAATTAAATTGTGAACTTCATATACAATGTACATGTAGTTTTGATTTTGTATCTGTACACTTCTTGCTTAAAATTTTATGCAAATTTGCATATCATGTACATGCATATGCGAAATTTTGTTTATTATTTATTGACCCTCTCCTTCTGCTCCTGTAGAATTTTAAATTTGGAGAGCCAATATTTTGTTACGATGAAATTGGTCAGTCATTATATTATATTGTACCTACTTGCATAGCCCTGTACTTCAATTAGTAATTGAGTCTAAAGCTTACCATATAAATTTTTGTTTTGTAAGTATCATAGCAGACATTTTGGTAACATTAAGCAACCTTAATTGTATTTTAAATCTTTATTGGTTAAAACTCAAGAATAAGGGAGAAGAGAGAGAACAGAAGGAATGATTAAATGGAAAAGAGTGTGTGCAAAGCATGTGCTACAAAACTATAATGACAAAAGAACCTGCATAATCATAAATGATAACACCTATAAGCCTATAGCTAGATCTATACACATTAACAAGAGTACGTACTCTTGACATTAACCACATAACATTAAGATTAGAATAGTAATACACTAATACAATAATGAGAATGATACGTGCATATATATACATGTACATTATTACACGTATGCTACATAAAACACTTATTAACTATAATTGTACTTGTTTAATATTTAAAATTAATTGTACAGTTTCATATTGTAGCTTTAGAAAAGTGGATGGAGGAAGGGAGCGTTGATCTAACTGTTACTCGTGTTAATATGCTTGGTGCTCCTGGAGCTGGTAAAACCTGTTCACAGCTCCTCCTACTAAATGAAGACCCACCCACTAATGACACCAGTACACCCATTGCCTGTCCTGCCGTTAGGGCTACAAGAGTTGCTGTTTCTGATAAAATGATTTGGAGCCGAGTGACTCGAGCAAATTTACTTGACGAATTAGCAACTGATTTGAAAACTGCTACTGATTCAGAGCAAGAGGAAGTTCCCCTGACTGCAACTGCAACCTTTTACAGTCAATCATGGACTGTGACATATACCAATCCGATGGAATCAGGCAATGTAGAAATTCCATCTCATGCTCCAAATGAGCCTATTCCAGCAGTTTTACCTTTATTACAAGATAAGAAGTATGATACCAAAGCAGTTGTGCTAGAAATTTTAGCCACTCAACCAAAAGAGATTCGTAAAAGTGATCATTGGCTGTACGTTATTGATTCTGGTGGTCAGCCAGCATACCAGGAGTTACTGCCTTTATTCACTAGAGCAGCTTCTCTCAATATCGTAACACTGGATCTATCTAAGCCTTTCAATGAGAGGTTTGATCTGATGTACAGGATCGATGGAAAATACTTCCCATGCCACTCCAAGTCAACACAGTTAGCATTCTTCCAGTCTGCAGTTTCCACTGGAGCTAGTTTTGAGCCTCTTGATATTTCCTGCATCTCCAAGAAACCAACACACTCCATGCATCTTGTATTGGGAACGCATTATGACAAGGTGAGCGATGCTACTTTAAAAGAAAAGGAAGAGATTCTAATGTCTTCAATGTCTTCACTAGAATCTTACTTACAAAATTGCGTAATTTCCCAATCTGATGATTCTATCATATTTCCGGTCAATGCAATTGCTGCATCAGAAGAAAGAGCTAAATACAGTGAAGAGATTTGCAAAGCTATTTGGTATCGTGGCTCTGATGCTTCACTCAAAATTAAAATACCAATTCGATGGTTTGTATTTGAGCTATCTTTACCTGAGCAAAGTATTGTATCAGTTAAGGAAGCTTTATCTATTGGAAAAGGTTGTAGTATGGAAAAGGAAGATACTAAACAAGCTTTGAAGTATTTCCATGACGTCAGTCTCATGTTATATTATCCAGAAGTTATAAATGTCATCTTCATTGATTCTAAGCCAATCCTTGAGATTCTCTCACAATTATTAGCTCTCACATATGTTAATAAAATTGATGCCATAGCATCAATTTCAGACAAACCTCTTTCTCCAAAAATCACAAAAAATCTGAAAGAAGGATTTTTCAATGAGGATATTTTTGAGCATTTAAAATCAAGAGCTGAAGTATTTTCTCTGCCAGAGTTCCAGTTGTCTGACCTAATCAGACTCCTCCTTCATCTTAACATCATCACAAAACTAGAAGATGAACCAAAGGGACACTACTTCATTCCTTATGCTCTTCCTTCATACAATGAACCAGTTTCAATTAAGGAGACTAATGCTAAGCCACTTCTCATAGTCTGGAGGGAAGAGGAGAGTGAAGAGATCCTACCAGTTCCTACAGGATTGTTCCCTTTAACCATTGTACATTTACTCAACCAGAAAGATTACGTTACTAAAATCTCTCCATCAACGTCAGAGTATTACAAATTTCGAGATGCGATATCCCTCAGGATAACCTTCACACAAAAGCACACACTTCACCTCATCAACCGTTACACTCATATTGAAGTGTACTTTACTGGTCCTACCCAGCACTGTCCATTAGTACGTAAGCTACTCACAACAGCTATTGATAATAGCAGTGATGCCATGCACCTCAAGCATAATTACGTCAATGCATTTGCTTGCCCTGTAAAAAGAAATAGCTGCTACTGTATTGTTGGGTTCAGTAAAGATGGTCATTTCATCAACTGTACAATGTGCTCTGAGCCTGCTACTATCAGTGATGATCACTGGAACTGGTATAATATAGAAGGTATATATACTATTAATTTGTAATTTTATTTTATATTTTATCACTTGTGTATAGGATCCATAGTGAGTAACAAACAAGAAAGTGAGGCAGTTTTATTCAATTATATTATTTTTATTATTTTATTTTGAATATAGACTTCTTGTTAATCATTCTGGACAAGAAGCCTCAATTGGATGATCTTCATAGGTTATTCCAAAGTTCTGATTTCCAGTTTTTAATTATTGGGACAGCACTTGGTGTACAAGTTAATGACCTTCAGCATAGTCCAATGTCAGCCTCTGATAAGCTATTACTAGTGTTCCAGAGATGGATAAATTCCAATATGAATATAACCTGGAGGAAAGCACTTCAAGTTTGTGAAGATTATCCAGATCAGTTTGGACTTGTAAAATCTGATGTGATCAAATTTCTTTCATCAGATAGAGCCCATGACAAATATTCAGATGGTAATATTAACAGACTGAACTATGTAGTAAATTTTTTATTTAATTTACATGTATAAATAGTTATAATTTATCACTTGTGTATAGGACCTGTTGAGAGTAACAATGGAACCCAAATAAAACAAGATAATGATCAGTCATCAGATGAAAGTAATGAAGAATTTATTATAAATTTAGCTGAAATTAAATTGTCATAGTTTCTGCTAGTGGAATCACAGATGATAATATCTATGGTGGAACTTATGTGGACACTATGCCTGCAACCATAACTCCTGGTAAGAGTATATGATAAGATTAATAATTACAACAGGTAGCTTTTACATTTTAAGGCACATGTATACACTAGACAACATGTTGCTAGCAAGTTGTGGTTATTTTGATTTAAGTTGTAAATGGTCTATTATTCTTGGATAAAAAAGGACCAAGTAACCAAGAATGGTGCTAGGAACAAGTTGCCTGCAGCAAAAATATTTGAGTTATTAGCATTTTTTAAAACCAGCCAATTTTTATTAAAAATTACAATGGCTATAGCCCATGTTTTTTTTAAATGGTTCTGTATTTAGCCCAAACTTTTATGATGCATAGTGATTTTTTTATTAAAAAAATTATTTTGACAAAGATTTATTTTCTAGCTATTGTTTAAAAATAATAATTTTACTTTTGTCAATAATTGTTTTGTATTTATTTTTCAGCTGTGAGGAGGTTAATGAAAGAGGCTACTGAGTTAAGGGAACCATTTCCTCATTATTATACCCAACCAATGGAAGTTAGTATTAGTACATTTAATGTAGTGTTTGTTATATTAATCTAGTCATAATGCAAAACATGAAAAATTTGCTATTAAATTTGCCAAAAATTTTAATTCCAATTTACATTTTTATTGGATTCTCTGATCCCTAGCAAAATCTCACTGTTCTTTGCTGTGTTGCTGCATGCATATATGTACATATACTTACATACACAATAGTTTTGATTCATTAAAACCATAATTACATTGTGCCACATAATCCCATTTTGATTGGAATCAGCTCATAACTTCTACGCACCATATTCTTAGGATAATTTGTTTGAATGGCATTTCACAATACAAGGTCCACCTGGTACTGATTATGAGGGAGGACGCTATCATGGACATATCATGATATCACCAGAATATCCAATGAAACCACCTTCTGTTGTCTTTCTAACTGTGAGTGGAAAAAGGAAGAACTTGGGAAGGTTTCCTTCACTCTTTTTTATGTTGTTATTATCTTTATTTCTCTCTCTTTCTCTCTCCTTAGCCTAATGGAAGGTTTAAATTGAATCTGGAGATATGTATGTGTGGTTTAGAGACATGGCAGTCGTATTGGGGAAGTAAGAAACACTAATTATCACATTATTCTTCTATTAATTTTTATGCCTGAAAATTTGGAATGTAAAATAAGTTTATTCAATAAGGTTTGCATGGCAACTACATTTTACAATTATGATTAGATTTTTTGAATCATTATGTGGATGTCTGTTGCTGTGCATATAAGTTTGGCTCTTTTAAAGTTAGAAGATAAGATTTTGACAATTTGTTCTCATGTCACATAAATTGTGCTCCACATCAGTGTTTTATTTTTAAAAGCCTCTTAATTTCTCTTTTTTCCTATTATTACTATTAGTTAGTACTGTGCTACTGGAATTGATTGATATGATGGCAACTGATGATGATAGAAGTACATTTGGTTCACTGGACTGTACACCTGAAGAAAGACGACAATTGGCAACTAGGTAAATGTACACATATATAATAATAATGATGATGATATATTGCCTGCATATTGAACCACAGTTATTATCCGTTCATTCCTAGGTCGTTAGAGTGGGTATGTCCTAGTTGTGGTGTTGCTAACAGGACAGCTTTACCTGAAGGAAGTGAAGACATTGTATCACAAATGGTAATCAAAGTATATAATCACACATGTGGATGTAATTCTTATACCTACTCAAAATGCTGTATGTCATACAGTAGTTTTGCTGATTGAGCTTTCAATTCAGTTTTCATACAGTATAATAGCTTCAAATTTCTGTTGTCAAAATCGAGGAATTTTTTATCACAAAAAACTACTAGTTGCTACCATTATTGTGACAACTTAAGTGTGATTGCAACATGTAAAATCTATTTCTCATACGTTTTCTGCTGCACTGCATAGCAACAGAAACTCATGAGGAATTATTTTACAGTCAAAATAATTTAGTTCTTTTTGTCTTGTTGAAATAATATTGATTGTGTATAGAGTGCAAAAGCATCAAGAATACATGTAATTGTGTCTAATTTTTAGTACAAAAATAATTTTTAAAATATTTTATTTGTTTCAGCCTAAAGAAGAAGTTAATTCTCAACAGCCTCATGATCTTGATTTACAAAAAGAAGCGTTACTTGTTGCTCAATTCTGCCCACCATCAACCGACCAATCAAATCAAAGGAATATTGATATCAAAGAGTCACATGATCAGTCTAAAGATGAAGGAGGGACTGAGATTAATAAAGAATCATCAACTAGTGGAATTAGATATCGTGGACAAGAAGAAACAGATCAGCCTCTCTCTGCTTCTCCTCCTCCTCCTAGTTTTCCTGCAAACATGTATATAATTTTATTTTTTGTTATTGTTATTGTAATTTTATTATTACTAATATTATTATTATTGACTGTTAAGTGAGTAGTACTCGTGGTAACTATATTTTTATTAAACCAAATTAAGTATGTAGTTTTATTTGATTATACAGTTAGTTTATATGTAACAACTTTTAAAACTATGATTATTAGATCTATACAACTTATTATATTTTTTTACATCTATTGAATCAATGTGATAGTCTGGTACACATACATGTGCATAAGTGACATTATATCCAAAGGACTGATAAGCATCCAGTAAAGAGCCAAAGCATGCAAACACATCTGTGTCTGTATATCACTACTTTCATCTCCCCTTTGTGCTTTAAGCAATAAAAGACTGTATTGTGAGTAAATTGAACTTTCCTGTGCTATATATAGAGAGAGTTGGGTTTGCTGATTATGTAACTACTGCTTTGAGAGATAGAGAGAGAAGAGGAAGAGAGAAGGCAACCATTGCATAAATATAACTGTGTAGGGAGTACAAGTGCATGTATACTAATTAAAGGATTGGTGCTACATCATGATGTAAACAGTGTTCTGTCATTATTGACAGCATCTACTTTGTTTTTCCCAACCCCAAATCTCTTGTCTTTTATTTTCCAATCATAAACTATATGTATAAAATTTTAATTATACGACTTATGAAAAACTACTACATGTAGATCAAACAGCTCAAACTTTGAAAAAACATAAGAACCTGTAGATCTGTAATGTATCCAGGAAAATTATAAAAATAGAGAATTCTCTCAGAGCCATTTTTGACAAAATGCCCTGTGCTATAGTATAACGACTTTGATCTGGTTTTTGAGTAACTTTAAAAATTTATAAAAAGTCCAATTTTGATCAGAATCACTCAGTTCAAACTTTCTACACCACATATGCATGTATAATAGATTTATGTATCAGAAAAATTATAAAAATGGATAATTTTTCCCTTTTCATTTTTGGCAATTAACTTATGCTGCGTTTACACTACAGAAGTGGGCCAAACCGTGCTGAACCAGACTGAGCTGGCCCTGCTGTACTAACCATGCTGGCCTGGTTTGGCACAGCTCACTTTGGCTACTGTTTACACTATCAAATGAAACTGTGCTGGCCTACTTTAAACAGGTCTGGCTCAGTTAAAGAAGCTAGTGTAAACACAGTATTAGCCAAAATGTACTCAGCCCAGTATTTGAGCAACTTTAATAATTTGTAAAGACCCACATTTTATCAGAATCAGCTCAAATTTTAAAAACAACATAAAAACATGCATAGCATATGTATCAGAGAAAATATAAATAATAGGGAATTGTCTCAGAGCCATTTTTGACGAAATATGCTGTACATTGTTGGGAGCAAATTTAGAATATTAAAATTATTATAAAACATTTGATGATTTCAGATTTGCTATGAATTGTGCCACACCTCTCTCAGTCTCTGAAAGCCTGGTTTTTTATTTTCTCCATTCACCCTGGGGCCCAATTAGCTCCATTATCTTACATCCATGACAAGACTGACCAGTAGGTAATCATGCACTACTATGGTAGCAGATACTCCATATATGGAAACTGATCATCACGTGAATGCATATGGCTGGCTGCCAGCATAGATTAATATCCTGCATGCCTCTGCCAGGAAGAAGAATACTGAAGCGGTGGTTTAGTGTAGCCTGTGAGTCTCGCTGGTTTTGGACTTTTATATCACGTAAGTACACAGTAGATATAGATCTACCTGGATATGGGGCAAATGGCAATCAATCTCTGATAATACTTATTTACAATGTACTGTGGCCTACTATGAGCAATTATGTGTTGCTATGGTCCTTATCATAATTGAAAGCAAAGACTTATATAATTGGACCTAATTTAAATTGAAAAGCTTACT